ACAGATTTAGTTCTGTGGTTTTAAATCATTTTAACACTCTGTCATCTGAACCTACTGCTTTTTTATTGAATGAGTATTTCATGTTTCAGAAATGGAAGTGATTACTTAAGGTTTTAAATCCGTAACACGAAGCAGAGGTTATTCCATATATGTATACATCTATCCAAATTAATAGTGTTGTCGTTTCTTTTATCTTAGCTAAACGATTCCTTTTGGCAATGAAATTACGTATGATTGTTTATTAAATCAAGTCAATGTGTGGGGCGCAAATAGGCCTCTTATTGGCCCACGTCGCCCTAAAACTATAAAACCAACCAACCATCTTGTCCGAATCTGGCCATTACAGCACTTGATATTTTACGAACGCTTTATTCATCTGCTGCCAGCGACAATCTCAACAAATCATCTGACATCAATCTCCAGGACTGACTGACTGAGTTTAGTTTTACGCCGCTTTTAGCGATATTCCAGCAACATCACGGCGGGGGGCACCAGAAATGGGCTTCACACATTGTACCCATGTGGGGATTCGAACCCGGGTCTTCGGCGTGACGAGCCAACGCTTTGACCACTAGGCTACCCCACCGCCTCCCCTTAATCTCCAGGACCACACAATAGTTATATTAGTACCTTACTAACCACGCGATCTGATGTGCGTCGCGATTACCACTACTAGTGAACAAAATATGGGAACTTATTATTTGAATTTACATATAATTTACAATACTGTGGGTTTTTTATCTGAACGCAACATCTAATCACAACGAAACTTAATATCATGTATGAACGGCATGTAATGCACGTTCTCACAGAAGCCAACCCGTGAAGATCAGGGTTAAAATTGATCTTCAGTAAGCCATGCTTTTCGTAAGAGGCAACTATCGGGATCGGGTGGTCAGGCTCGCTGAATTGATTGACACATGCCATCGTATCACAATTGCGTAGATCGATGTTCATGCTGTTGATGACTGGATTGTCTGGTCCAGACTGGATTCATATAGCTGGAATATTGCTGAGTGCGGCGTAAATCTATACTCACTCAGGCACACAGAAGCCAAAGTGTGTGCGCGTTGAGGGGATCTTAAATAACTGGTGCAAATGAGTTCTGAAAACTTACCTCCGAGAGGTTACTTCAGTGAACAGCCACAGCTAGGTTTCCATGTGTACGTATTGTCTGCGTAACTGCGTGGTGTGTAATGCGTATTAATTTAAAGTTTAAACATATTTTATTCACAATGTGAAAAGGATCGGGGACAAGTTCCTTCAACTTATAAAACCCCTCTCCAAAGATATTTACAATAACTAATTACATCACAAGCAATTATTAGAAACAGAGACATCGAAACACACACTCACACACACGCACACACCTGGATCACCCAATGTGGGGTGCTATCTCACATGAAAGATGAACGTATTTGGTTATTGTTAATGGCCAAATGTTGGATCTTTGTTCCATTCGATGGTATAATCGACAGAAATTTTGAACTGCAAAATACAAGATCTCCGACGAGAGTGCATACAGACATTGGCCTGGCCCGCCAAGTACATTAACATGTACTTCTTTGGGGTGTTCTTGAGCGGAATTTGTAAACCAGATACGGCCAGAAGTGAAGCACAATAGCGGACAGGACAAAGGGGTTCAACAGTATCCCTACTGCCATAATTGTTGATTTAGTTACTAGGTATGAACTAACTGATTCTAATTCTAGATTAAAACAGTGGTGTGATGACCAAAACTGTATAAGTGAAGTGCAGGCAGGATTTAGGGAAAATTATTCAACCACTGATAACATGTTTGCTTTATATTCTATATGTCTGAAATATTCATCAAGGAAAGGTTGTAGGTTTTATTGTCTTTTTGTTGATTTCTCCAAAGCGTTTGATTCAATAAGACATGATGTACTTCTGAACAGTCTTTCCGAAGTTGGTATTAGTGGCAAGTTTATCCAAATAATTTTGTCAATGTATTCAAAACTTTGTGCATCTATGAGAATGTCGGATGGTATTTCCGAGTATTTTAGTTGCAATATCGGCACCCGTCAAGGCTGTATTCTGAGTCCACAGATCTTCATAATCTTTATAAACAAACTAGAAAAAATAATGCAAGAATGCGTTGGGAGAGGTGTGTTTATTTGTTTCCTCGTATAGATATTTAGGACTTGTTTTCACACCAAAATTATCTTGGAGCAAGGTGCAATTTTGTCTTCGCTACAAGCAAACAAAGCTATGATGTCAATTTACGGGTATTCTAAGAGGGTTGGAGGTATGCCATGTAAGGAATTACTAAAGATATTTGATAGTATGGTCGTGCCAATTGTGTGTTATGGCTCAGAATCATAGGGTATATACTATAGTAAAGAAGTAGAAAGAGCACAGTTGAAATTCTGTAAGTGGATTCTTAGAGTTGGTATATCTACATCAGATAATATGGTATTGGGGGAATGTGGGCGTTTGCCTCTACAGCTGGTATACCTGACCAGAGCAGTTAAATACTGGTGTCTACTCATTACTCTACCTCCTAGCAGGTTACAAAGCCAGTGTTATCAGATGCTTATGTCCCTTGATAATGTAGGCCGTACTACTTGGGTCACACACATCCGAGATATCTTATTGAGATTTGGGTTTGGTTTTGTCTGGGTTTCCGAGCAGGTTGGTTGCATAAAATCTTTCATCTCTTTATTCAGACAAAGATTATCAGATAATTTGCAACAGTTATGGATTTCAAGCTTAAGCACTTCCTCCAAGTGTAACTACTATAGACAGTTCAAATCATTGTTAAACGTAGAATCATATTTGTCAGGTGATATTCCTTATTACTTAAGATCTTCAATGGCTAGATTCAGATGCCAAAATTACGGTCTTGCTATAGAAACTGGTAGATACAATAAGACAGAATTTAAGGATAGGGTTTGTTTATTTTGTAAATTTAAGAAAAAATATTTTATTGAAGATGAGTTTCACATACTGTTTGTCTGTGAAACCTATGAAATATATACCCACTTATACCTTATGTTGAATCTCATTATGTGCCGCAAGATATGGTGAATTTACTGACATCACGCAATGTTTCTATCTTGCATAGTATATGTTTGTATTTATATAAAGTATGGAAGTTGAGAGCGAACACTACTATATAACCCACAAGTACTTAGCCTTACAGATATTGCTGGTACACTGTGATGTCTCTACCCTGCATAGTAAATGTCTGTATTTATATAATGTATGGAAACTGTGACCCAATACTATTAATCCATAACCACTTAGCCTTGCAGTTATTGCTGGTACACTGTGATGTCTCTACCCTGCATAGTAAATGTCTGTATTTATATAATGTATGGAAACTGTGACCCAATACTATTAATCCATAACCACTTAGCCTTGCAGTTATTGCTGGTACACTGTGATGTCTCTACCCTGCATAGTAAATGTCTGTATTTATATAATGTATGGAAACTGTGACCCAATACTATTAATCCATAACCACTTAGCCTTGCAGTTATTGCTGGTACACTGTGATGTCTCTACCCTGCATAGTAAATGTCTGTATTTATATAATGTATGGAAACTGTGACCCAATACTATTAATCCATAACCACTTAGCCTTGCAGTTATTGCTGGTACACAGTGATGTCTCTACCCTGCATAGTAAATGTCTGTATTTATATAATGTATGGAAATTGTGACCCAATACTATTAACCCAAAGCACTTGGCCCTTCAGTTGTCACTGGTACACTGCAGGGCTCATCATTTGAAACCAACGGTTTATAAATACATTCTGTTGTCCATATGATATGTTACAAATTTGCATACCTGTGTCTGCTCTGCAGCTATATTCTCACTCATTTTTTTATGTTGTCACCAGGAAAGTATGTATCATGGGCCCAAGGCCTCTTTATTGAATAAATCTGTCGGACTAATTGATAAAAAAGTGAGGATGTCGAGGGGATAATATCTATATCCAACCATAGAGGAAAAGTCTTGTGACGATTCATTGCAAATGAAAGTCACATACTGTAATAGTCCGCGTATATGGCGCACATATCCAGGCACATTGCCTGCTCACGGCGCTACGTACATTACTATCCCTGGTCATAGGACACTATCATACTTTTTCAACTCCCTGGGGATGATACAGCCTTGGTGCCAGTTAGGCGCAATGAACTACTAGTAAACACTCACATTGGTACCCATTTTACAGCTGGGTGAACTGAGACAATGTGGATCTAAGTATCTTGTCCAAGGATACTACGCAAATGTGCCCACCTCCGGCCCAACTAGGTACATACTGGCGAACTTTATTCATGAACATTTAACCCCAAACCCCAAAATGAGTAAGTTTAGTTTTACACCTGACTCAGCAATATTCCAGTTATGTGGCGGTGGTCTGAAAATAACCAAGCCTGGACCAGACAATCCAGTGATCAACAACATGAGCATCGATCTATGCAATTTGGATACCATGACCTGTCATTCAAGTCAGCAAACCTGACCAACCGACCCCTTAGTCACCTCCTATGACAAGCATGGGTTACTGAGGATCAATTCTAATCAGAGACGGAAAAGGAAAGTCATAAGAGTCATATGCTCATCTTTAAGACATTATGGTTGTTCCTCCAAACCATATCCATATATAATGTTGGATCTTGAAGGTGACATTGTATCTGATTGATCAACTGCTATCAAACATTTCTTCTGCTTCATACATTCTGACACTGTGCCATGATTGGTCACTGTTGTCTTCAGTAAAATATTATTTAGTCCTCTTTTAGGTATCTTCAATGGACTAGACTGGAAATGCAATCTTTCACCAGTTTGGTCATTCTTAATATGGTTGAACCTGTTTTGAGTAATTCATGTAAAGCTTACAGCAGTGCTTCTGGCCGTATCAGACTACCAAGTACATCTATCTTTTACTATAAAAAAATGTAGGTACAAAAAGTGAAGAACCTCTCAAAGAATGTGAGAAAGCCCCTTTAACAAACAAGGATGAATGCTGTTGACTGTTTCAGTATTTATTATGATGATGACAGTATCTACAAGAAAATGATAAAACCAAACTGGTATCCATATACAGTGCTTGTATAAAATAAATGCTCCTTCGTCAGTTCAGTATCCCACACTGGAGAGACCACAGACTGATTCTGGCACAAATAAACCTGAGGCAATATGGGGTTCAGATAAGAAGTTTCTCAATGCGAAGCTTGGCCTCGGTGATCTGGGTGCTGATCATTGAGCTCTCCTTGGCCACCACTGAGCATGCTATCACTGGCCGAGACACACCACACGCACGACCCAAGGCTGAAAAACAGAAATACAGGTTAGATGTTCAGTCAGATCAAACCATCTTCAGTTCCATACTTTCTATCAACAAACGAAATATATATTCTACTTATAGTCAAACACCAAAAGTAATGTAGTGAGTAGGCTTTTAGCACTATTCCAGCAATATCAGGGTGGGGGGACACCACAAGTTTGCTTCAGACATAGTACCCATGTGGGGAATCAAACCCAGGTCTTTGGCATGACAAGCCAATGCTTTAACCACTATGCTACCCAACAAAGAGCAATTTAAAGGCATCTCTGATTATGCAGTTTATTTCACTCAAGAAAATATCTAGTCCAGATCAAACATGTCCTTTTATTTGCTTACATACATTATTGTTTGCAAGGAACACAGATCTATGCCAGAATCTTTAAGAGGAGGCATTTTCACTGCGTGATGACTAACAGTACATGAGGAAGAATGTCCAGTAAATCCTAACAGACAATGCTGGTGATGTTATGTGCATGGAGGCGATATGGTTGATGGTTAAACATAATAAACATAATACACTGGACTCTAGCAATAAATGTTCAGCTCAGACTACCTACCCTGCTTAGATCGGCAGAAAACGTATGGCACATTCTGAAACGGGAAAGATCATCATAAGCCACCAGTAATGCAGAGTGAAATATGACAATATGACTACATGAACACTTATATTGCAATACTGAATTCAGAAAGGTTACAAAGAAATCATAAGATGTAATGAATGTCATGCCCCATTAGAGTGAGTGAGTGAGTTTAGTTTTATGACACACTCAGCAATATTCCAGCCATATGGCGGCAGTCTGTAAATAATCGAGTCTGGACCAGACAATCCAGTGATCAACAGCATGAGCATCGATCTGCGCAATTGGCCCCATTAGAAAGGTAGGGCATCTCTTTATGATAACGGGAAGGTTGTCATTCTGGGCTATGCACGAAAGCTAAGTAAAGGCAGGTTAGATTGGCCAACTCATGAAGATAAACCTTCTAAATGCATTAAGAGTTTGTTTTCACTTGTCAAATGTTGCAAAACTCGAACTATGTAAGCTTTAACTGTTACAAAATATGTCCCTTATAAAACAGCACATCCACGCTGCCATGCAACAAGAAAAAGAATGATGATTCAGAGGTAGTCATGTGGACAGTTAGTAGAGTAGGTAAGCTGTGATATAGGGAGAGCAGCTTGGAGTGCACGGGCGATTGAACAAGAGAGACTTATGGGAATTTTTTTACAGTCGTTCCACTTAGACTCGAAGCAACAGAGAGAGAGGTGCAGTCGTGAGATAGGATAAGTTTTAAAATTTAGCTTTACTTTCTCATGCTGAAGCAAGGAATTTATTCAGTACTCTGAATATCAGTTCCAAGTTGTGACGTCCCAAGTCTACAAATCGGTGCAATGACCATGCATTTTCAGCAGTTCATTGTAGTTTATCATTTCTGTTAAAGCAGAATCAACACTGAAGAAACATTCCACAACGAAAATGGCATGGATAGAAAGCGTTGGTGAATTCAAACAAATAACTTTTAGGTACTTTTAAGTATCTTAACAATTTGACACGACCCATGAGCCCACTTTTTATAAAGGCTAAGAAGAACATTGCTTTAAGACTTGAATAAAGAGCTGGCGAGTAAGGTTTTAGCAACATTCCAACATCACAGCAGGGGACATCAGAAATAGGTTCACACACTGTACCCATGTGGGGAATCAAACTCCATATCCAGAGAGACAAGCTAACATTTTAACAATTTGGCTACTGACCACCCTCTTGAGAAAAGGAGGTGAGGTGAAATTGGGTTTAACGTCGTACTTGAGAATATTTTGCTCATATGACGACGTGCATGCGTGTGTATGTGTATGTGCGGCTGCTTGTACTAGCCCAGACTGAAGCTGGTTTTATAGTGCTAGCCCACTGAGATACCACGCCGCAGTGAAGCATGAATACCCCACTCAGACACATTATACTGACTCCGAGCCGACCAGTCCTTGTTGTACCCATTAATGCCGAGCGCCAGACAGGGACCAACAAGTACCATATTTTAACGTCTTTTGGTATGACGCGGTCGGGGATCGAACCCACGACCTTTCGCTCACCTTGAGAAAAGGAAAACAATGTGGTGGAATGTAAAACTTGGATCCGTTAGACGGAATAACAATATCCTAATGCCTCAGATTAGTGAGTGAGCGAGTTTAGCTTTAGGCCACATTCAGCAATATTCCAGCCCCACTTATATATGAGGTACTGTAAATCACGAAATGTTTGTGAGCATTATATTTTTGCAAAAATTGTGAATGACTTGAGCTTGCAAAAATTTGACGCAGTTTATTATTCACCAGTTTTGAGATCAACAGCTTTGGTTATGTCATTGTCAACAATTTAATAGTGAGTGAGTTTAGTTTTACGCCGCACTCAGCAATATTCCAGCCATATATGGTGGCGGTCTGTAAATAATCAAGTCTGGACCAGACAATCCAGTGATCAACAGCATGAGCATCGATCTACACACTTGGGAACCGATGACATGACCACTTGATCCCATTAGTCACCTCTTAAACAATTTAATAGAGGCATTCCAATTAATATAATCCATTTGAACTGTTCTAAGCTCATCTGGCCTATGATGGGTGTGTTGCTTTTAGGAAAACATCACTGACTGCATACACACAGAAGCACAGTTCAAGATTAGCAGCACCCTTTAATATGTGATTGGATTTACATTAGGTAGAAATTTCAGTTGCAATCTAGTTTTGAGAATTAGGCAAGTCGCAAAAATATCATGACGCAAAACCCCTCTGTTGGTCGGTACTTGCAAAAATATTGTGATGCAAAAAAATTGTGATTTACAGTATGTTGGGTCCTATAAAGTCATGAAATGTAGAAGTTTATTGAACCTTAAGATTTTACAGTTATTTTAATGTCAGGAACCTTAAATTTTGTGTCAAAACTTTGATACAACGAATCTTACTGTGCACCTCTCAAAATGCAATAGATATTTTCTCTATACCATGTTGGTGCACAGTAGACATGCATTATTATGTCACATAAAACCTGACCCACCTTGTCTTCACAGAGCAGGGGCAGGTGGAGGAGAATCTCCAGAGGTTCAGCATCGGCAGCCATCACAATGAACTCGGATATCCCACGATTCAGTGTTTTAGTGGCTGGAAACAAAGCGAAATTTGTGAATGTAGTGAGTGAGTTAAGTTTCAAGTTTTACGCCACACTCAGCAATATTCCAGCTCTATGGCGTCAGTCTGTAAATAATCAAGTCTGGACCAGATAATCCAGTGATCAACATCACGACTGACTGAGTTTTCGTTTTACGACGCTTTTAGCAATATTCCAACAACATCACGGCGGGGGACACCAGAAATGGGCTTCACACATTGTACCCATGTGGGGATTCGAACCCGGGTCTTCGGCGCGACGAGCCAACGCTTCAACCACTAGGCTACCCCACCGCCCCTCAACATCACGAGCATAGATTTACACAACTGGGAACCAATGACATGTGTCAACTATGCCATCAAGCCTGACCACTCAATCCCGTTAGTCGCCTCTTACAACAAGCATGGGTTACCAAAGACCATTTCTGACCCAGATCTTCACAGGTCTGCGAATGTAAATTTCAAGAGTCAATGAATCTGAAATAATAACACACAGTGCAGATAGTACTTATTGAAAGAATACACATTCAATACATTTATGAACATGTTGTGAATGTGTTGTCCTTCAATATAAGTACTATCTGAACTCAATTTGTTGAACACTACTGCCTTGGCTTCGGATTCCATTGTGAATGGGTAAAATGCAAGAATGTACCCTTATGTAAGTGCATTCCACATTATGGTGATAACCAATCCAGGGTAACATATTGCATGGAATGAGTGAATGTGACCAATGACAAGTACTTCCGAGGAGTTGCAATGAACATACGACTAAATACACAAACAATTTCACAACACATCCAAATGCGATACAAAACAAGGATAGACCTTATTTATTGATAAATACGCAACAGATACAGAATTCGCGCGACGGATAAATGTGTCCCACACTGGGCTTGCATAGTTTTTTTGTTTATTCGTCTAACGGTAGTGGAAAACAAAAATTACATGTGTAACGAGTACTATTTCCAAACCGGAAGTCATGCAATCGTCCAGTTCAGCTGTTCGCGAAGTGGGACTCCCAAGTTTTGGGGTATATTTTCAGGTGTGTTATATTGTCTCCCAAGTGTCCATAGGGTTAGGTAGTCTAGCAGCTCATATATCACAAACGCTTGGGTTTGTGGTGCAAGTAGCTTCAAATATAGGTCAGATGATTCCAGTCGAGTGGAGCAATGCCATGACCGCGGTGCGGAAAGTTGTTCTTATAGGGCCTCTTCCATCTATGTGCTATTATAGCTCGATCGACCTATAGGCATAAAGCTCGTTTGAACTATTATAGCTCGATCTAACTATAGTGAACAGCAAAAGAAACGCAAATCTGGCTTTTTGTCAAGGTTTTGAATAGAAGACAACCAAAATCATGTCTAATCATTTATTCTATAGAAAACACTGTCAATTTAACAGCTAAAGGTTGCTGTTGACATTGAATTGCAATAAGTTCAAATTGATCACAGTCCGTCTAATGGAGATACCCCTGGACGCGAAAAGTGACAGTCTCTTTAGTAGCGCGTATAGCCACCTTGAGCTTGCACACAGGCCATGCAACGTGGCCTCATTGAGTTCACTAGAGTCTGAAAGGATGCCTGAGGCCTGAGTGGCTGTCTACCTGCCCCAATCCTCCGTCCACTTTCGTCCCAGAATGTTCAATGGGAACCATATCCGGGAAAGAGACGGCCATGGCAAAATGTTAATGTTGTTCTGAGCCAGACAATCCATCGACACCCTTGCTGTGTGAGGGCTGCAATCGTCATTGGCGTTGTTGACGTGCCAAAACTGGCCCCACATATGGCCTTCGGCAGTGGATTCCAGCAGCCCGAAGACGACGCCTAATCGTATCGCTGGACACTGCTCCCCTTGACCCAAGAACTAAGGCTGCTGTTACTGTTGCTGCTTGAGTTCCGTTCCTTAGATGAGTGACCCGGATGAACCGATCTTGCGTATGAATTGTCACTCGTTGCCGTCCGGTACAGGGACTATCAGCAGCAACCCCGGTTTGCCGATGACGTTGAGCAAGTCGTGTAATGGTGGTAAAATGACAGCCCAATTGTCTAGCTACAGCGGTTGCAGAGCTACCTCCGTGCAACTTTCCAATGGCCATTCCCCTCTGCTCAGTCGTTAGTCTAGGCATCGTTTGTGTGGCGTGTACACCTCCTAGCGTCAATGCTGAACGGTTTTTTGACACAAACCTTTATAAAGGATACCTCAGAGTGCAATGCATGCTTTCCATCCAGAACCGCCGATGCACGTGCTAAAATTATGGCTTTGCTGCACTGTGGTTGTGTTTGTGCCAGTGTTTCGTATGGACGTCAAATTGCATGACATCATCTCATCGGGGATCATGACGTCACTTTACCATGAACGTTCCATAAACATCAACGCTTACCTTCATGAAATTTCATTTTTCGGAAACTTGCGTTTCTTTTGCTGTTCAGTATATTATAGCTCGTTTTCAGGTTCTCCCCGACCTGTTTACAATATTCCAGCAATATCGCGACAGGGGACACCAGAAATGGGCTTCACGCATTGTACCCAAGTAGGGAATCAAACACGGGTCTTCAGCTTGACGAGCAGACGCATAACCATTAGGCTACCCCACCGCCCCGTAAATCGTAGAAGCATACCTTCATTGGCCCCCTTCTTCAACTGCTTGTAGTTAGCTGCCTGTTGGATTAAGTCCAAGATAGACTCAGTCAGCTTGGCATCAGCCAGGGGATACGCCTTGGGGTTAACTTCATCTGCCTGAAACACCATTGGTCACCATAGGATAAAAAACCTTAGATGCATTGAATGTTATTGTCATTGTGAATACCATACTCCAATATTCCAGTTTCAAACAATATGCATTGTAGTCAAAGAGACAAACAACGCTGAAGGGGTCATTGTCGGCACAGGTACTACAGATACGTACCACAGGTACGTTTCTGAATACAGATATGTACCCTAAACAAAGTCAAAATACAGAAACGTACCCGGTACCCTAAAAGGCGGACGAGTCCATATTCCGCAATCCAAACCCGAAACCGTATGTAGTTGTTCCTCTTCAACTGATTGCGAGTGGTATTCATATGCATCACGAAATATCCGTTACTGTGTATTCTCATTACTTCCATAACGCAATCAAATGTATCTAATACAACAGCATGACAGTTCCGATCAAGAATGGGAATGGAATCGTCCTAGGGTACGTTTCTGTATTCTCATTATGGCCAGGGTACGTTTCTGTATATCTGTAGTACCCGACGACCCCTTTAGCACAAACAACAGACACTATAATAACCTCCGAGTTAATCTGAATTCCTAGACAATGCCTCGGCAAATTGTTGACCTTATAAGTTAAATTTTTCATTATTTCAAGAAGATAAAATTCATATTAACAGTTACTATGTACAATCCTTCGTCTATTCGATACACCCTCAGCACGAAATACGAGATATTGTTTGCGCGAAATCGGAGGTTCTAAGCAAGCAGACTTCAAAATCATGCAACACCATGAAGTCATTTACAGATGATTAAGCTCTTGAACAATACTTACCATCTTAAACACAATAGATTACGTTTCAAACAAATACAACAAAAATCAACTCCTCTCGGCGTTATTCGCTTCACGGAGGATTGTCGATCACCACGTGCTTTCTGAAAACACCAATTTCTGCGCATGCGTAAGAAAACAGGATCTAACAAATAGTAGTTACGCAGATATTTATTTGTGAATACATATTCAGAACAGATTTCTAAAAATATTTCCCCTGCAACAGAGATTTTTTCTCATAATAAAACATATAAACTATACCAGAAGACAATTTCTTGATAAAGCTGTTTTTCGGTGATCTGTAAACGCGCACCTGTCTTCAGGCAATCACGTGATCAAAACAGAGCAGACGACGTTTTCCGAAAGTGTCAACCTGAACTTGCAGAGCTAACTTGCTTTCGGTGTATTAAAACTATTTCTTTTGAACGTGAGTGTGACAATTTAACATAAGAAAGAACATGAAAAAGAAAAAATTACATTGTTAAATATGCAATTCAGTACACATAATTAGCATTTATTCTTATCGATTGTATATGTAGATATTTGACGAGCCGAGTATCATTTATGTTTTTCTGTCACTTATCTTCATTTGCTTTTCTTATATAAAAACAAAATATGTAACTTTTGCAAGAACAAGGTCTAATTCGAATTCGTATGACCAGATCATAACTTTAAACAGAACTAAATGCTAATTTCCTAAATCAACGAGATTGTGTAGTCAATGTTTTAACATATCCAGTCCTTTCTAACACTGTCAACAGGCCTGTTAGCCTTGCATGTTAAATAGTGAAAAAAAGGATGTCATTCCCTTGGACATTTGGTAATGTGAATATGGTCTATTGCTGACATATTCCTGCACAAATTCATTAATGTTGGAAGGGTGATTATTACTGATTGCAGTCTACAGCTTTAGATCTATATTAGGAACAAGTCCAAAGCCAGAGTTTAGTAGTGCTGCTACTAATAATCCATATAATAACACATCTACTGAAAATGATGCTAAAGAGCCAGCTTCACTCTAATGCTTCCCAGTTTTGGGCACAGGCTGTGATTATGATTGATAGACTAACTGACTTTCTTTCTATGTTTTCTGTGTTATAGATCTGCCGGAGGATGGAAACTGAAGATCAAGTAGTGGAGGAAGAAATTGCCTCAGATGAGGAGGTTGGTATCTAGGATGAACAAATTGTTTTAGTAACAAATACAAGACATTTCTTTTCTTGGCACTTAGTATGAGCAATGTATTTGATAGGGAACTTGCTACTTGTGGAAACAGTTAGTTTCTTTAGTTTATTAGTTGTCTCAATATATCATTGACTAGAAGTTAACTTGATCAATCCTCCAGACAATATTATGCCATCTTTATGCTATGTTATGCCAAAGTTGCAAATTGACTCCAGTCTTCTCTATGGGTTAGTGGGGCGGTGGGGTAGCCTAGTGGTTAAAGCGTTGGCTCGTCACGCTGAGGACCCGGGTTCGAATCCCCACATGGGTACAATGTGTGAAGCCCATTTCTGGTGTCCCCCGCTGTGATGTTGCTGGAATATTGCTAAAAGCGGCGTAAAACAAAAACTCAGTCAGTCAAATCTATGGGTTAGTTCCCTGTACATCAACTCCACCTCAGAACCAGAAAGGAAAGGTAAACATTTTCATATTTTAAGACCAGTAGATGCAGGCTCCTTATTCATTCACTCTGCCAAACTTGCTTTTTGCTTGAATTTCTTTACGTGGTAATTCAACCCATAGATATCACTTTTGACAATGTAACGTCATTATGCTGGCATTATCCATTTTATGAATGGAGTTGATCATGTACATACTCTCAAAGCTTGATGATCTTGTTTCAGGAATCAATATTTCTTGATATTGATCAGCTGCAGAATCATGGCATTGTAAGTGTTTAAAATTCCTACCTTTTGCAGATATATTCAGTTTAAACAGACAATGAAGTATGGAGCAAGGATCGACTTATACAGGGTCGAAGCACCTTCATCAAACTTGATGATACCTGACTGATTAAGCAAACACAAACTTTAAAGCCAAGAAATCTTAGTTTGCTTGGCACAACTCTAACCAGTAAAAGTTCAGTAAAATTATGTTTAGTCTAGTAACATCAGCAAATAATTTCCTTGTGATAACACATTTTCTGGAAATGATGCTTAAGAACCATGTTTGGGCAAATGGACTCAAAAGGTTTTGGCACCAACTGATTAATGTTTATATTCTAAATTATATTTAAGTATAACTGTAATGAATACATTACATATTGAATAATAACTGTTTTGAATTAGTTTGGATTCATACAGCTTTTGAACATTTGCATGGTTTTAGATCACTTCAGGTTTTTTGGAACATTTACTGATTGTCAAAAATGTCCTAAATGTTTTGACAAATGTGTATGTAGTAGTTGTTGACATAAATAGAAAGACAATGCATTTAGCAGGATATACAGATAATGTGTATTATATTTCTCAACTCACTCTTCTGTCGTGAACCTCAAAGAAAAAATGTAATGTTTCATCTTTAGAATGTTGCTGATATCAAGAAACTGAAACAAGCAGGGATATGCACTATCAAGGTAAGAACAACTATTATTTTCTTCAATAACATGAAATCTTGAATGTTTTACTCAATATATTGAATTCTGAATACAAAGCTGTCTCAGATCAGTTGACCAATTATTATGTTAATTGCTTTCCTATATATCATATTTTTTTTCAGGGAGTTCAAATGACGACAAGAAAGAAGCTGTGTACCATCAAAGGTATATCAGAAGCAAAGATGGAAAAGATCAAAGAAGCATCAGCAAAACTTGTGGTAAACATTATTCTTGAGTGTCACTGTATTGCCTTTTTTGCTGGGGTATGGATTACCTACTTTGAAGGCTAAAGCTGTAGTCTTGATAAATATCTCAAGCAGAAAGGTTACATTAACTGATGAATAAAACTGAAAAATGTGTTTTAACAGATTTTGTAAAAACTGTTATCAAGAATGTATTTTTATTAACAGTTTTGTAAATCAATTAATTGTTTTCTGAAATTCCGAGCAGGATTTTCCACTGGGTACCGGTATATATCTTCTATTTTACAGGACCCAGGATTTCTCACAGCTTTACAGTATGCTGACAAGCGAAAACAAGTTTTCAAGGTTTCAACTGGAAGTCAAGAGTTAGAGTATGTTGACTGATATTTAGTTACAATTTTTTCACAGACATGAATTATTGAAGTAGAGATTTATAGTAATCACTCTTTGGTTTTGTTTTGAACAGTAAACTGCTAGGAGGAGGAGTAGAAAGTATGGCCATCACAGAAGCCTTTGGAGAATTCAGAACAGGGAAGACACAGATTTCTCATACATTGTGCGGTGAGGGATGTTTCGTTTGGGAAATTTGTATGTCGGGCTGCAGCAAAGTATTGATTCATTGCTATTTCTATCAGGCAGACCTTATTCAGCTGTATAACTCAGTCTGAAATGTTGGCTTGTGATAACATGTAAAGACACCCTAATAATGTGCGTACCACATACATACTTTTGATTCTACTAGCCTGAGTGAGTGAGTGAGTGAGTATGGTTTTACACCGCTTTTAGCAATATTTCAGCAACATCACGGCAGGGGACACCAGAAATGGGCTTCACACATTGTACCCATGTGGGGAATCGAACCCGGGTCTTCAGTTTGACGAGCGAACGTTTTAACCATTAGGCTACCCCAACGCCCCTACTAGCCTGAAGATGGCTCAGAGAATGATTTCCATTACTTTAGTGTTATCATGATTATGGACCAGATGTGCTCACCAGACCACACAAAATTGTTACTAGGCTTTCGCTTCAGAAAATGTGTAGTGGCTAAGGTCACAAACTTAAATGCCTAAAATTGTACTTGCACTCTGTTTTCTAACAAAAGCAGAATAATTCTGATAAAGTATAGTATTTTCAAACTTTCTCCCTCTGATCCCTTCCTCCTCTTTAATGAGATTCAATTCAGTCTCAGGCGTTGATCAGTATTCTTATTTGTTTTCAGTGACATCTCAGCTACCAGGAGCCAATGGTTATTGTGGAGGAAAGGTTGTGTTCATTGACACAGAAAATACTTTGTATCCTTTCACTTACGATCGATTATTAATTGTTATCTTGTATATTTAAGAAATGTTTCAATTTGGTCAATATCAAGTATGTTTAATTGTTTGAAATTTTGAAATCCTTTATGACAACAGTCGACCTGACAGATTACGGGACATTGCTGACAGATTTAATCTTGACCAGAGTGCTGTGCTGGATAATGTGTTGTATGCAAGAGCATATACAAGTAAGTATTAATGAATATGTGAACATGTTCAACTTTTATTTCATATAAAGTAACATATCATCATTATCTGAATATTGTGATAACATTTGTAGATCTACACAATTCATTACTGGATTGAAATATAATTTTCAATATATTATACTAAACCTATTAATCTTTCCACAAGACATAATTTCAGAAATAAACATTGCATTTGGTAAGGCAATATCAGAATATATTACCGGTATCACATGTGATTGTGAATATGTACAGGACTTGTAACTCATACTTTGCTTCTTTAAATGTTAATACATTAAGTGTTGTATAAAATGTCCAGCACAAATATTTGAGTCCAACAATATTCCTCATGAAAAAATGCCTTTGCTTTTCCAGGTGAACACCAGTATGAGCTCCTGGACTTTGTTGCAGCCAAATTCTATGAAGAGCCTGGTGTATTCAAACTGCTGGTTGGTGAATTGTTATTATTGAAAACCATACATTTCTACATTTCTGAAGGATATCTTTGACATGGGAACAATTTGATACTGGGTGTGAAAGACTTTTAGTAAAATATATTTCAGTTTTAACTAATATTGTCAGCTATATTATTAGTCCTAGTGATAAACATCTACTAAAAATAATGTTTAAGCTTACATCTGCAACTTTATCTACTAGTCTGATTACTACGTTAAGTAAATATTTTTAGGTTTGGTAAGATTAGCTGACCCTTATCAATAATGACTTTAAAATTTACTTTAAAGGATGCAAAAAGACTGGTTTCTGTTAACAGTTCTTAGCTTGAGAACTAACAGGGTTCACTGTTGAAATAGTCTGTTATGCTGTTAAAAGTGATTAGATATTCACAACTGTTTGTTTTGTTTTTGGACCAATCATTGTGAAGCATAGGGGGATTCTGATACCATGTGTTGCACAACAGTATATCTTCTTTTGTTGTTACTTATTTTTGCAACTACTGGTTACTATTGAAACTTGCAGATAGTGGATTCTATAATGGCACTGTTCAGAGTAGATTTCAGTGGTAGAGGAGAACTAGCTGACAGACAGCAGAAGCTGGCTCAACTCCTGTCTCGGTTGCAGAAGATAGCAGAAGGTGAGAGTTGCTTTCTACAGTATGACATCTAATTAAAGACATATTTAGACACAGTTTGGCATTTGAGTGAGTGAGAAAGAGGAGGAGGGAGTGGTAATTGTACATTTTAGTTGTAATAATTTCCATAATGCCATCTTTCTGGTGTCCCCTGCTATGATATTGCTGACATATTGCTAAAAGAGGCATAAAACTAAACTCACTCACTTAATGCTATCAAGTACATTACAACATTGTAACTGTCTACAAAACACCTGCTTCAATGTTTTGCTGTGGTGTAGCATGTTTTAATAGAATTTCCCTTTTCAGAGTATAACGTGGCAGTTTTTGTTACGAATCAAATGACATCAGATCCTGGAGCTGGCATGTCGTAAGTTCTTAGAAGAAGATAAACTCTGAACTGAAATCAAAATATTCTTGTTTATAATCACAAATTCAATAGAAAGTCCACAGTTTAGTTTATTAAGACATTGGTGTTATGACCTGGTTGCAGTTTTCTTCATGGATCATTTGTATGCTGAAATTGATCAATTCAATCAAACATTGAGATTGGTACTTTGCAGAAAATACATCTATTGCAAACTTCCATGATTTATTAAAGACATATACATGTATTTTGAAATGAGTCACTGATTAATTAAACATAAAAGCTGATTATTTGTGAACAGCTTTGATGACCGATTGAATGTATGAAATATCAAATGATATTTTTCACTCAATCAGTTATTGTCAAGTCATTAAACCAATCAGTCATCAGCTTCAATAGCCAATCTGTCCATGACACTACCCCAGGTTTCAAGCTGACCCAAAGAAACCAATTGGTGGCCACATTCTTGCTCATGCTTCCACAGTCAGGATAAGTCTAAGAAAAGGAAGAGCAGAAAACAGGATAGCCAAAATATATGACAGGTAAAAATATATAGGATTACCTGTTATTTATCTTTCATCAGTTTGTTAATATCTTTACTGATGTCACACAGGTGTTTGGATCACTATACCAGTTGAATGACTAATTGCTGTGATATTCTGACTGCATCCATCCACAATTAATTTCTGGATCATAACATGACTGATGATGAAACTTCGATCTTGTTTTTCTTCCAGTCCTGATTTGCCAGAGAATGAAGCAACATTTGCCATCAGTGGTGGAGGAATCATTGATTCCAAAGAATAGTCTGGTCTTTTTACAGTGAAATGAATACATTATCCCTTCATCACATCCTGTATGTATGAATGTGACTGCTAATATTGTGGTTAGAACTCAAACACATTTTACCATGATGTTCATGCTGAGCATGTGTAATCTCATAACTTTTCCCCAAAGGACAAAGTTTTATGAAATGCCCTTCATCAATCAAATGGCCCAGGGTAATAGTTTCAATTGTTCTGCTAGTTCTAATGAATGATATCCTTTATGGAACAATACTGGGAAATACTTAGGGACCGTTCATAATTTATGGCTAGGGGGGTGATGATGATATATATAGAGAAGTACAATGTTAATGACTCCCCCTAAAATTTATGTACAAATAAGTGACCACCCTGCATGTCATGTACAAAATCAGTTACCCACACTCCCCTTCCCATAATTTCTAAGCATAATTTTTAACATATTTTGATGTACAAAATTGCTCCCCCCCCCTATAGTATGTGTACGAAATTGCTTCCCCCCCAGCTCCCAAGAACAAAATGGGTGACCCCCTTAAAATCATCATTAAAAACCCACCCCACCCCCATAAATTATGAATGATCCCTAAGTATTTCCCAGTTTTGCTCCATAAAGGATATCATTCATTTAAATTTCTACATACAGAATGTTACTCTAGTTAAAACCAACAAATAAACTGTTTAATTATGTACATATAATTATTGGACTTATCACATATTGCTCTTTTTGTCATTTCTATAGTCAGTTCTGTGAATCATCTACATAGGATTAACATAGGCCAGTTCTACTCATCTGGTCATGGGATTTGATGGAGGTCAAGGTCACTCAGGAAGTAGACATACAAAACCAAGTGTATACACAATATCTTGAGCTTTTCTGATTGAAATAGGATGTAACTTTATATAAATGATCCCTTGGCAGTTCATTCCTGAGGCTGAATATCAAGGAGCTGAGTGTTTCAACAATATACTGCGCTGGTTGTTGTCAAAACTGGAAGGGATGTAATGAAACCCAAACAGCTTATAACTTTGTTATTATCGTTGCTGGAGGTACAGACTTTTCTGTTTCAAAGTTGCACTGAACTGTGCATGTGTGAGGTCAACTGTTGGGTAAACACAAAATGACTCATGATACATGTTACTGTCAATGTCCAAAATACAAGTCAATCTGAAGACCTGAATTTATATTTCACTGGGATCACAAACTGTGTACCAATCTTATAAATGAAAAGTATATTACAAACTGGACACCTTTGGCTTCAGACATAAAAACAATTCTATTTTTCAGGATGGAAATGATTTTATTGCAATGACACAGATGGCAAGAGAATAGACAAACTCACTTACTATGTGGAAATTTCACATCTACTCAAAAGTGTTGTAACTCTAGCTACTTACTTTTCTTACCTGGACTGTACAAATATCTGACATATTAACTCTAACTTATCAATTTCATTTAAACACACAGATCTCACCGACAGCAAATAGCAAAAGGAAATAACACAAATATATTTAGACATCTACCTTGTACAGTATCAAAACTGCAACGTGTGCTTTTCTTAGCTGATAAACATGTTGGTATTCAAGTAACATTCCTGGCATGACCCTATCAAACTTTCTGACATCTTGGTAAACACAAGTTTTCTATTAGAAATGTCTTCTTTATATCAATCCTGCATTACATTTGAAGAAGTGATGAAATGCAGTTGGTAGTAACAAAAATAATGTATACACATAAAAATGGGTTTCTGATGAGTATTGATGGAATATCAAAGGTTACAGGGTCACCTTGTGATGACCATAAACCTGCAGAAGCAATCACTTATCTACTGTCTCAGTCTGTGACTTCAGTCACAAGTCCTAAATCTCAAGTCTAGTAAAATTATGTTTGCTCTAGTAAGCTCAGTTGATAATAGTCCATATGATAACAATATAATGAACAAAATGAATAAAATGATACAGATAGCCAAGTTCAGACATTTGATTGTTTTGATTTTCTCAAAATGTCAGTTTCATCATACAATTCCAGATGTGTGTATAAACTAAGTCTGTATCAATTCGTATCAAAATCAGCTGATATTTCAGGACATGCTTTTAAAGCATGAAATGCATGAAAATGAATCACTGGGCCACTTTTCATTGTTGTAGAAAACTGTTGCCAAGAAGTCAACCACACTTGCCATAGTGATAACAATTGTGTTGAATTGAACTGTTACAGCCATGGAATTATATATAATCTAAACAAACTAACAACCGATAATGACAGCAATATATGGATATATATGATAACAACTAAGCAGGGCTTAGCCCTTGTGTATTAAATGATATAGCTAAAAGTCACATAAATAAAACAGACATACACATAAGAAAACATGTCTTTTTTATGAATGACACTAACATAACAAGATTGCTTTTCAAAGATCGGTCAAATATTGGTTTTGGCCTATCTGTAGGTAAGAGTAAATAGGGCACCTAACTGTGCTAGTGATAAATAGTCAGCATAAATAGTATAACAACTCGCTTGATATTCCATTAAAACATTCATAATGGATGTACTGAAATCCTATTTTGATAAAAACTTTCAAATTTATCAATTTAACTGGATAGAGCCATTTTTGGGATAGACACATTAGTCCTAAAAATGCTGCCCATTGTATTTATATGGAATAATACAATGGTTGATTAAAAAGTGTCTACATCAACACAGGGTTGCATCATGAATGATACTTTCTTTGTGAGGTCCAAACAACAACAAAAACTAAAACAACTGATGCAGTTTAGAAGATATTTCTTCCCTTGGAAAATCATTGAACTACTGACAGTATCCCTACCAAGTACCGGTAGTTGTAAATAGATTAGCTACATCAGTTAATGCCCACTCAAAGTTAAAGACTCAACTCAGGTGATAAAGAAAGACAAGAAGTAGTAAACAGCACATAAATGAATCACAATCTGAATAAAACTTTATAAAATTAATTGAATAAAGTTAAGAGATCACAAAGTAAAGGCCTACTTTACTGTTTGAAGCAGATAACTAATGGCATCTACCTGACGTATTTATATATATACAACGATCAGCGAACAGCTAACTAATATAATGTATTTACAGGAAAAGTATTTACACACTGGTTGCTGCCTTTTCTGAATATTGATGTTACAATATGGTGAAGATATCAAATATCTATCCACAAAACTCAACTCATTCATACAAGGTTATGATTATCAAATTCATGATTGATGATGAAATTATAACGTTTTGAATATTCTTTCTAAAAAAAGCAAGAACAATACTGGTATCAGTGTCCCTGATACCACTCTGAAGTTTCATTTTTTGCATGAAATGGCACGGGCAGATCAGATGGCAATTACAGAGAGGTGGTTGTGATCCAGTTTGTCATATATAGACTAGTTAAATATGAAAAACAAAAATTACCATTGAGAGGGAAGTACCCAGTCTTGTATATAATGCAACATTGCCCTAGGGCACCTTTGGCGCTGAATAGATTCTTGAAGAATAATGGCACCTATGTTACTTTTAACTGGTAACATAAAATGAGGTGATTACAATTTTGTTGTCATGACTACATTTTCCTCACAACCAGTCAATAGCACCAATACAGTTTGATGAGATTTAACCCTCAAATATTGGTAAGAATATTACTCAAACTGGAAACACATTTCACAATGACACACTTTCATTCTTGCAGTACATTCTTACATATTCTACCACACAACCTAACAGTGCACAATTATGTACATTGGAAATTCAAATGTCTTCTCATCTGAGAAGAAAATGATGAAACTGAATTATTATAATTATGACAGTTAGCCATTGCTATGTTTAAGGACAAGATAAATGTTAAAAGGTGGAAACATGGATCACCTTCAGTGAAAACACTGGAAACATGTTCAAGTGTTGCCATATAAGTTTCTACTCTTACCCAACTGGTGAGGAATGTGACTTATTTAATTTCAGCTCACTGTACTGACTACATGGTTTGAAAGTTTTTCAAAATGAAGACACTGTAGGGAAATTATTCTAGTCAAGATATATGGGGTTATATATATCTTAAATGTAAAATACACTGAAGGCTATATTAAGGTGGCATACTCACTACAGTTTAGAGAATCTTTGTAAAAACAGAATTTTGGGAAATGTTTTTTCATACTAGTCCTGAAGTAATCTTATTAAACTTTCTTATTTTGCACATAAATGTTAAGTAATGCTTGACAATAGGTACACTACAAAATCAAAACTGTATTCATTCTTATTATAAATAACTCTAGACAACCTTTCACGCATGTAAAGCATCTGTGTTGTACCACAGCATTGGCACAAGATTTGATGTATTGCTTCTACTGTAGGCCTTGGTACACATCAATATTATATATATATCAAATACAATACAATACAGGGACCACTTACACAAAACCATCTTAGCGCTACAATGATCATAACTCAAATCCTTAAGTATAGGCTTTCAATAGTCGTAGTGCAAAAATTGCTTTGTACAAGTTGGTCCAGGCAGTTAGTGACTACAGATGACTATGTGATGATGTTAGTGCTGACAAACGCTGTTACACAACATCCAGCACCTTCTAAAATACATTATAACATATAATTTAAATAGAAACACTGTACATATGGACAAATGTTCTAAAATTGTTACCCTTGACAATATAATAAATGCACTGTTGGTAAATATCATTTTTCAATATAGGCTCGGAGTCAATGAGTTCACTGGACAGAATTGTTCTTTCACTACATGACACTGTTATAGCACGTCAAAATAGTTCATCACAAACAGGAAGCCATCTTGTTCTGTGGTGTGTTTTTTTGCCTCACTTCCATCGGTCAGTATATTTAATGGAAACTTCAGTGTCTATTTATATGTGGATCTGTCCCTCTTAGCACTTGCATATCATTGAACACACTGCCTGGTGAATCAGGATTCTTTGTATGGCAATCCATGGACTCGAAATCTGTATAAACATGTATACTCTGGGTTGCCATGGTTTCCAAGTATTTTCAGTTCAACAAATGAGAAAAACTCTCCTGTGGTAGCCTGAAATTGAAGAAAAAAAATCTGTCAAGAAAGAAACCATCTGACTTCATCCTTACTGAAAGAAAATAACTTTTATATAAGATACCTAAGAGAGGACTAAATAATATTTTACTAAAGACAACAGTGACCATTCATGGCATAGTGTCAGAATGTATCAAGTGGAAGAAATGTTTGATAGCAGTTGACCAATCAGATACAATGACACATTTAAGATCCAACATTATATATGGATATGGTTTGGAGGAACAACCATAATGTCTTAAAGATGAGCATATGACACTTTAAATTTCCTTTTCCCTCTATTTCTGCAACATGGATCAGTTCATGAAAACAGGGAAATTAGTCCACAAAAATAATCCTACAATATCTGTGCTCAAGTTTATATTTCTGAAACATACCTGAAGAGGAAAGTACTGAATAGGCTTCCCACTGTCACTGTAGGTGTAGTTTCCAAGGGACACACCCACTTTGTCAGTCTCACTGCTCAAACCCTTGAATGAATATACATGAAAATTAGCAACTGTCTCTTTTGATAAACAGCTATTTTCTTAAGCACAACATTTATCATTAATATGTGCCTTGAAAAGATATAAGCCTGATACATCTAAAAGACTGAAAAGGATCCTCCATCATCATAATTATAATACTAAACAGGCTATTCTCAGTGTAGTGTCTTATAAACCTATACTCTCAATGGAGGTCTTTAGACAGAAAGAAAAAAAGAGCATCTATACAAAAGTAATGCTTACATATACAGCAAAATCTCTTGGGGCACTGTCAATGTTGCCTGTGGGAGAGAGAGCCTTGGGGATATGCTCCAGGGTGAAACCCGAAGGTTTGATGGGGAATGCCAGCTGTATCACCAAGAAGCCCCTTGCACCCTTGAACGCCCAACACTGACCAGGATGAACATCAGGCTGTAACAAGCAGAACAGAAAATGCACAATGAACAGAATACATTACTGTGACAAGACTATGATATCTACTAACCAATATCCAAATGTAAGTTTAAAGAGTTCTCAACTATTCTCAAGATGCGAGAAGAGTAACTGGCCTTTACGACATTCCTGACAAAGTGGTTAACATACCTGAATAACTGTACGTGCAGAGTTTGTGGTGTACCACAATGGGATACCAAACACACTGACAAGAGCAGTCTTCCTGTAGTAGGTCTCCGAGCACCGGACACTGACAACACTCCCACCAGCTGACTCCAATGCATAGTCAGCCATTCCAACTTGATCAGCACTGAACTTCAGCAATGCATCATCAACTATCCATCGAATGTACTGAAGATACCAATAACATTTATATTCTTTCACTGACACCAATAATTTGATTTACTTCCATGTTACACATTCACATATTGTCAAACAACATGATACATAACAGACAATTGACACATACAAGCATCCTCAAATGTTTTTTACTGAATGATGTAGTAAAGAAAAAACATACTGCCATGTTGTCAAAAACATGTTGGAAAAAATGGGCATATTGCAGACAATATTAGCCATGACTTGACTGGGTTCTGTCCAGTCATACTTTCACATACCGGTATACTGTTGGAAGTACAATAACTTCTGAGCATTTTAACTAATACTAAATACTATTATTTGTTGTAATTATTCAAGCTGGTCAAATTCTTGCACTGCATGTTCAGAGACTTACATCTTCACTGATAGCACCAGCAGGACCTTGCTGTGTGCCAGACTGGATGTACACATTGGAGGCCTGTTCCTTGGTAATGGCCAGTATCCTCTGTGTGATATCCTCTGACACTTTGGCCAGCTCCATATCCATATCTTCCTTCCTGGCATAGTTTCTCTGCAGCCATTGAAGGAACGCACCATAGCCATCATCACTGTCAGACCCTCCTGCTCCTCCAGCCATCATCTAATGAGGCACAGAAGACAGCAGAAAAGATGAGTTAGCTTTGTTCTACAAAACCATCTTAGCTCTACAATGTTGTAATTTCCATGCCTACCATATGACAGATCTATTGATCAAATCACTTGCATTTGTCAAGTACCGGTACTAATCACAAAACTGTTGGGAGACTGATGACAATATCTCATGCTGATAAGCCACCAACCTAGAGTAGATGAAAGCATGTTCTATTTCCACGAACTGATTTTAGGGATACTCCCATTCTTAGTGTCTGTCAACATTGCTTTGTGGCACATGCCACAAAAATGTCAAAACATTAAATCATGATCTTCAGTTCTAAAACTTTCATAATTACTTCATATAACCCAAAAACATTCTAAAGAGACTTCCACAACTCATTGTACATAGTGTTCATATGCTTATAGATGAAAGGGTCTCACCTGTGCAAAGATGTCCTTCACATGTTGCCTCACAGCAAGAGCATAAAAGCTGTCATTCCGACAACAGTTGCGTACACTGGCCAGGAGTTCCAGATGTGAGAGGTGGAGTTTGGAGAAGTCATCCCCTAGAGCTTTGATCTGCTGCTGTAAGAGCCTAATTTGCTCGTCATAGTCCTGCTTCAGACCATCTACCTTCCTGTAAGATCACATGAAACATTGTTATTTGCTTATGGTTCAGCCACAATCAGCATTATTCCAGCCTTTGTATTGTTATTATTCAAGTTATAGGGTGTCCAGTAAAAGCAATAACACAGACTTAGAAACAGATTTTCAACTGGATGTAGGCAGAACATGAAACTGCAAGTTTAGGTACTCTGTTAGCACTTTTTATCTTGGTGAACAGTTGTAAAGGAGATTGTTAATATGACGTCATGTACTTACACATTCCCTGATGACTGGAGTGCAGCTATGGCGGCCTCCAGAGACTGAAAACGGAAATAACATTATACAGCATATTCCAAGAAAAAGGCCACTTCTAGAAAGAAAATCCACCGTCCAAAATGGCGAATGGTACTATCTTAAACAAAACTGATAACTTACCTCATACTTCTTCATGAAGTCCCCAAGTTTCTTATCCATACCAGAAAATGATGTTCGCTGGTTAGTTTGTGACGACTCCTGCAATACATTGATCAATACATGTATTATCACTCACAACGAACAGGCTTCTCAAGGTTCAGTATGACTTTCTGTGTATCTACACATACAAGAGAATTGGTGGAAGAAAACATAATCATAATTGAATATAAATAATGAATAAATCATCATGATTAAAAATATATATTCTAAAAGCATTAACTTATATGAATAAGGAATTATTCTGAGTACGTGAGAGAGTATGAAATCAAGAATCTAGTTTACAAGCCACCTACTGACATTATTCAAACTGTTCTAACAACACGTTATTCTAGAAACACGACATGTGTGTGTATCCAGGCCTTGATGACACTCACCTGGTCAGCCTTTACTTGGTTGATGTTCTGCAGCAAAGCCAGCTTCATCTCCTCCAGTTCCTTAGCAATCAGACCCTGTGCTATCCTCTCCACATCAGCTGCCGTCAGCTGGTTCGTCTCATATTTGTGTCTGTGCTCCTCAAAAAACTGCTGAATTTTGATGTTAATTGTACTCGGATCCACATAAGGCAACTGAAACGATGAAATGCTAACACTTAACACTGACATTAACAATTGTCCATATCTGATATTGTCAATGTGTATGCACCAGACATGTTCATGTATTGTTTGTGAGTACTCGGGGCCATGTGTTGGTATTGTCAGTGTGTATTCACTAGCCATGTGTATGTATTGTTGGCATTGTCAGTGTGTACTCGGGGTATGTGTTGGTATTGTCAGTGTGTATTCACTAGCCATGTGTATGTATTGTTGGTATTGTCAGTGTGTATTCACTAGCCATGTGTATGTATTGTTGGCATTGTCAGTGTGTACCCGGGTATGTGTTGGTATTGTCAGTGTGTATTCACTAGCCATGTGTATGTATTGTTGGTATTGTCAGTGTGTATTCACTAGCCATGTGTATGTATTGTTGGCATTGTCAGTGTGTACCCCGGGGTATGTGTTGGTATTGTCAGTGTGTATTCACTAGCCATGTGTATGTATTGTTGGTATTGTCAGTGTGTATTCACTAGCCATGTGTATGTATTGTTGGCATTGTCAGTGTGTACTCGGGGCCATGTGTTGGTATTGTCAGTGTGTATTCACTAGCCATGTGTATGTATTGTTGGTATTGTCAGTGTGTACTCGGGGCCATGTGTTGGTATTGTCAGTGTGTATTCACTAGCCATGTGTATGTATTGTTGGTATTGTCAGTGTGTACTCGGGGCCATGTGTATGTATTGTTGGCATTGTCAGTGTGTATTCACTAGCCATGTGTATGTATTGTTGGTATTGTCAGTGTGTATTCACTAGCCATGTGTATGTATTGTTGGCATTGTCAGTGTGTATTCACTAGCCATGTGTATGTATTGTTGGCATTGTCAGTGTGTATTCACTAGCCATGTGTATGTATTGTTGGCATTGTCAGTGTGTACTAGGGGCCATGTGTTGGTATTGTCAGTGTGTACTCGGGGCCATGTGTTGGTATTGTCAGTGTGTACTCGGGGCCATGTGTATGTATTGTTGGCATTGTCAGTGTGTATTCACTAGCCATGTGTATGTATTGTTGGTATTGTCAGTGTGTATTCACTAGCCATGTGTATGTATTGTTGGTATTGTCAGTGTGTAATCACTAGCCATGTGTATGTATTGTTGGCATTGTCAGTGTGTACTCGGGGCCATGTGTTGGTATTGTCATCGTGTATTCACTAGCCATGTGTATGTATTGTTGGCATTGTCAGTGTGTACTCGGGGCCATGTGTTGGTATTGTCAGTGTGTATACACTAGCCATGTGTATGTATTGTTTGTATTGTCAGTGTGTACTCACCGGCCGTGTATACGTATTGTTCACTTGCAGCAGGTTGAAAGACTTGATTGATGATTTGGCTTGTTCAAGCAGTTCCCCTCCGTACATATCTGCCACAAGGAATTGTTCACATGCATCATGTAAATATGGCAAAACATTAATAGTAGAAACATACACTATATTTTTAAGATATATTGATAAAGAAAACTATAGAATGGTCTGTAATCATTACAATTCTGACATTGCTATTCATCATTAATTCTCATTAAAGGGTGTCATTTCATTAAATATAAATTTTAATTTTGCGGAACAAATATGACAATTATTTACATTGCTGCAGATAGACCAGCATAAATTACATATCCCCACTACTTACATCCCAATAGCAGTGGCAGTAACAACAACAGAGGTAGACAGAGGCAGCAGCAACCTCCAATACTCCTGCAACAAAGAGTGTGAGCGAGTTAGTGGCTTTAGTTTTTAGCATTATTCCGGAAATATCAGGACGGGGACACCAGAAATGGGCTTCACACATTGTACCCATGTGGGGAATCGAACCCGGATCTTCAGCATGACGAGTGAACGATCTTCAGCATGACGAGTGAACCTCACAACAACAAAAAGAAATCTAGAACTGGCAATATAACCATATTCAGTTTGTGGAACAACAGAGAAGTCAGACTTTCGCAGTGGACAAAATTAATTCTACCACATGACAGTTACAATTAAGTACACTAGAATCTTTATGTACCCTTAGGTCTGTTTTTACCTTGATACCACCCACATGTCTGCTATCCGGAGCCATCTCCATATTGTGATCTTTGTTTGACGATATGCATAACTGTTTGTGACAGGACTGAACAAACCTGAAAATACATTCAAGACTAGATTCACAACTGCTTAAATCAAATTAACACCATCAGTGTTATCGCAAGAGATAACTGACCAGGAATATCCTTCTACAAATTGATAATCTGATAGCAGAAATAATATTTCTCATTATATTAAATAATCACATGGTTTCATAAAAATTGAGACCCAGAGGATGCATTTGAACCCATTACTTTCTAAACATTTTAGTAGTGTGATTTTCTTCACTCAACCAAAAAACTTTCAGAAGAGTCATGGTTATGGTTAGCTTGATCAAAGTAGTGTAGACATAGCAACAATCTCCAAGACTGGGTCACATTGTTCAGTAGTTTCCAATCGCAAACGGTATTGTACTTTAAGATTGGGTTTTAAGAAACCCAAGGTAACCTAAACTGCACTATATTCATTTTTACCTGACACAAATGATGAAACTGTGGTTATTGCTGTTAAAAGTAGCTGCATCCATGTCCGTGATTTGCCATCTGACAGTTGAGAGGAGCGACCGCTTCCACTGCTTCGTGATGACCAGCTTCCACTGGTCAGTGTAGAGGTGGATGACCTCTTGGGCTTGACTGGAACATCACCTAGCAATAACAGCACCACAGTCACTGTTCCTGCATACAATGCAAATGTACAATTCCAAACTGATGACAAGCATGAGAGAAAACACACATTGTATTAACATTATTTATGAAAAAATGTCTGAGTAAAAGTGGAATTAATCATATCAGCTTAATGTTTATATACCTTCGGTATCCTCTTCAGAATCCAGACCTAAAATTAGAAAAACATAAAGAATTATTTCTATTTGAGAACTGTACAATATCAGGCCTACCAAATAAAACTTTCCCACTGTGCAGAAAACAAATGTCCACATTAATCGTGGAAATAGCAACATAAACATAATACCTCGCCACTGAAACAGTAAAAGGGCACTTTAAATTGCTAAAACTGGATCATAAAACGAAGAGTCTGCAACTTCGAATTTGCGTCTGCGCACATGGAAGAGGAAGCCTCCACCGCATGTTGACATATTCCAGCTTGGACAAAAGTTACATTCCCTTTTTCAAGTATTTCTGTTGTGTTATTTGGCATTTATCATCATCATACTTGTGTGCACACTTGTTGAGTTTACTTTCCATTCGTATGAAATGATTGACAGCAATTAATTCGACATATTCAATACTTTCTCTACGCGAGGCGATTCACGGTTGCTCGGAAATTTTAAAGAAGCTCAGATCGTAACGTGCATGCGCAGTAAAGGTCAAAGTTCGCTGATATAAAAAAAATTCATAGTCTTTCGTTGCTGTTTTTACTGTTTCAGTAGTGTATTATGGTTATGTTTATGTTGCTATTTCCATGATTCAACAAGGTGGGCTTTTCGGCATTTCACTTTTCTGCAGTGGGAACGTTCTCTTTGGTAGGCCTGAATATATGCATACATGAATGGCATGGACTAAAACTTGCAATGTTTCCTTGAAGCAAGTATCACATATATACTCCAATAAATGTCCATCACTGAATGCAAACAGAATTTTCAATAATGATTTGAAATTGTCACTAAGTCATACATTTATTGGTTACCAAGGTTTCAGTCACGTAGCAATTCCTTGGAGCCATTGGGACTCGAATAGATAATGATAGTGACAACTTAATATTTAAGGAAAGGCTGCAAAACTGAGTGTCCATTCTTTGAGACAGTGTTATTACTAATGGTAATTTCAAGGCTCCATCAAGGGCTATGCCATGTGCAATGCCGCCAAGTCATTATCGAACATTTTACTTTGGTTAAAGTCCGGACTGGCTATGAGTTTTCCACTGTACTGTAAGTTGTAATAGTATGATTACATTATAATAACAGTTTTGTGGCACATAGCATCAATCCACAGTAAGCAGAAACTGGGGAACATGCAGATGAGTAAATATAATCATGATAAGCATCCAAACATGCAGGAAGAAAGGTCAATACAATGAGAGAAAATAGCAAAAAGGATAAACACATAAGCCAGATGCTTAACAAAACAGCAATATAAGAACAGCACAAGACAGAAGTCTTTTGATCCATGTAGTTTCAGGTTCCATACATTCACCATCTTGTCAGAACCTGATCCATGCTGTTATTGGGGAATCCATCTAAAGAAGAGGTTAGAAGAGGCAATAGAATAGTAGCAGGATTTCCAACACCAACAGAAGCTGTCTATGCTCAAGCAATGTAAGTCCACTGAGCAGTTTAATGAAGAGTCAGAAGTATTAGTACTACAAGCAGGAATTCTAGGATTCACACCCTCTAGACTCAAGCAGCTAGCTGAAGCAGATCCGGGGTCCTTGGAAATTGAAGACTCTAGCTACAGAAAATGCTTAGGATTCTTACTAAATGTAACTCTTTGACCCTTTGATCTTCTCCTGGCTTTTCTCAATCCATCTTTTCTGTTTGAGCCTTCAGGAATGTCTGTCTCTTCTGCAGATGAACCACGAAGCCAGCCAAACCAGCCTGACCTTTTACTTTCATCACTTTCCTTCTCAGTTTGGTCTTCTTTTAGCTTTTCCTCATCAGATCTGCTCAGCCATGAGAAGAGTCTTGATTTTGAACTGCTGTCAACATCATCATTTCCTGGTTGTTGAAGGTCAGTTGTAGCTGATTGTGATTTCCAACCAAACAAGCTTGATCGTGATCCTGAGCCATCATCTGCAACACTGTTGTCCTCAGTCTTATCCTGTACTTCTGTTGTACTGGTCGATTCTAATATCCTATTCCATCCAAACCATCCTGAGTGCTGGCCAACACCATCTTCTCCATTTTGATTATCCTGTGTATTTTCCACCCTTGACCCAAACCATCCAAACCAGCCTGAGTTTGAACCCTGATGATGTGGCTCTGATTCTTCCACTTCTGTGTTTTCAGAAAGGGCTGTTCTTCTCCTCCAACCAAACCACCCTCTCTTAGATCCATCATCCCCTACCTCACCCATATCACTCTCTTTCACTGATTCAGTCTGCCATTTTTCCTTAGTGGTCTTGGATAGAAGATTCCTGAATCTGTTCTTCAAACTTGGATGTTCCTCAGAGTCAGATTCCTCAACATCTGATTCAGCAGCAAGAGCTTGCTTCCTTAGCTCCTCATCTTCTGTTGTCTCAGACGTCTGAAACATCCCAAACCACCCCTTCTTGTTGTGTCCCTTAAGATCAGAATCAGATTCCACAGGAGCTTGTTTCCTTGATTCTTCTTCCTCTGTAACTGTCTCTGAAGACCGGAACATCCCAAACCAGCCCTTGTTTCCCTGAAGATCAGAATCAGATTCAGCAAGAGCTTGTCTCTTCAGTTCTTCTTCCTCTGTTGTGGTCTCTGTTGTCCTAGACTGGAACATCCCAAACCAACCCCTTTTGCCTGTCTGCTCATCAAGATCCTTGTCAGTCACATCTGGTTCCTCTCTTTGAGATTCAATTAACTTTTCCTTTTCTGTAATGGTTTCCTCAGCTTGAGATCCTCCAATCAAGTTCCTCACTCCAGAAAACCACCCTGAAGTGTTGGCCGAGTCCACCTCCTCTCCCCCATCTTGCCTTGAGTTGGCTGGCCTCACCCTTTTCCTCCCGTCAGAATCTATGTATTCTATTGTCTCTGTTGTCACAACAGTTTTTGTCCATCTGGGACTGTATATCCCAGACAGGCTGAGGGAGGTGTCATCTGTTGATTCTCTAGAGTTTTTATCTATGTGATCAGAAACAACACAAAAAAAGTTTGAAAATGAACATTCAATAAACATGTAAACATTTAACTCAAAACTTAAAAATCAAACAAATTTCAAAACTTCAAAGGAAATACAAAGGAAATGCAACAAGGCAAAAATTATTGATGAAACATATGATCCCTTGCAAGTGATTAAAGCTAGAAGCTGTGACTTATTTGTTAATTGTCAGAAGAAGTCCAGCATTACTGAAACTGTGCATGCAACATGTGCAATGAATAAAAATCAGAAATCTGATAAAAACAAACAAAATCCAAAAGGAATTATACTGTGATTTTTCTAAAAGATTATTAGTAACATAAGGTCATTGTTAAATCATCTGCATCACACCAAACCACAATTACACAACATCTATTTCCATTAACTCAACAAACCATATACATCATCAATTTGATTGTTGTCAAGGTATATATCTCTTCCTCTTTTTAAATGCAATCAATGACCATACATGTCACCCCGCGGACTACCACTGGCTACCAGGTCTTACCATATAAGTGACTGAGAGGTGTGGAATGCTGCTGCAGCTGTTCTGATCTCTCTGTTACTTTGAAATCACTATTCAAAGACCTAGCAAGTGACCGCGCTGATGATTGTGAAGTTGATGATGATATTGCGTGGTTGTCGTTGCGCTCCAGATAGGAATCCACACCCGAAAGCCGACTTCCAGATCTCAACACCATTCCGTCCCTTGTGTAGGTCACTTGACAAAAAACCCGGGAATTGTTTGTTAACCCTGAGTCTACATCATTGATTATAGCCCATATCCTGAGTATGAGACACAACATTTACCTTGATACAGTAACAATGAGATTTTCATCAAAGTCTTTATTCCTAAAGCGAGGACATGACACAAAGGAACAGGACATTTCATTTTCAAAATACTATTCTCCATGTAACCGATTGTGCCATGGGTTATGGAATGAAACAAAGTTGTTTTTGCAGGCAGAAATGAAAATCTCATTATTAATTCAGTAAGAACTAAACAGCAAAATGTTTTGGTGAAGTTCCACAGAAGTGCACAAATACACAGAAACTCACCTCTTGAATAGGAGCTTGATCTACTTCTTCCTTCACTGTAAGCGACATCTTCTCGGTATCCTGACATCTCCTCCTGATGATCTCTCTCCTGACCCTCCTCTCCTGTCGATGGTAGGGGGGCGGAGTCTCCATCCCGCTCTGGGAGAGCACATAGCCGCTGGCATGGCTGCTGATCCGCTGCCGGGACATGTTGGGGATTATGTCCGGTTCACTAAAATACTTCGGATAATGGCTTCCACTGAAGAGAAAGAACAATATATCTACCTATCATCCTGAACATTTTTCTGTTAATTATACATACAACAAGTGTTTGCCACTGACAAGGCAATGTCCCCTGCCGCTAAAGAACGGAATATCTATATTTACTACATTTTATTTCTTGGTCACATACAAGATGCTTGAAATGACTGGTGTCTGCATAATCACCCAATGTAGGCTGTCAACATAACTGTAAACATTGGGTGCAATGTTTTATGAGATATTGTGTTTACATAAGTTTGAAAAGCGGTCAAAGGTCAAGGTCACCCAAATAAACTGGTGTCTGCGTAATCCCCCAATGTAGGCTGTCACCAAATTTGAAGACATTGGGTACAACAGTTCATGAGATATCTCGTTAACAAGAGTTTGAAAAGTGGTCAAAGTGGTGACCTTTAAAATAAGGTCAAGGTCACTTAAATAGACTGGTGTCTGTGTAATCCCCCAATGTAGGCTGTCACCAAATTTGAAGACATTGGATACAACACTTCAAGAATTGGGATGTACGTACGTACAGACATACGCCGCTGAATACATAGTCCCCAGTTCCAAGTTGCGTCGGGGGACAATGAACTACATTTATAACTTGGGCTGTGTATTGGCAAATATACTGTGATTAAGGTACCAGTATTGTCATATATTGGGAGCTGCAGTGTTCGATTGTGAGTGACACTGATTGCATATGCAGATCCTGTTTTCGACATACTAAGGCCCTAAAATTACATGTTATGAATCTAAATTGAGTCTAATAACAGTAGTCTCAACATCAGTTGGATAGTTGAAGATTCAATTTTCTTTTTCATATAATCCATAGCATGATGAAGTGTTCAAGACAATTGTTTTCTTTACCATGTTTACAACTGTCTTCCAACCAACAACGACACAAACATGAAGGTATTACTTTTTGAGAGGAATTTAGAAGCTGGAGCAGTAAGTAAGGATAACTATATATGGATGAACATCAGTCTCTCTGTAATGAAAAGGCTGTTGATCTATATATTGTTGTCCTCCCTTATGATGAAGGCAGTCAACAAATATTCATCAATTTCATCATTGTTATTATTATTATTATTTTATTTTATTATAGGATATTTATATAACGCACATATCCACGCACTAATGCATGCTCAAGGCGCTGGTATTTTTCCCCTCGATCATTGGATGTCAATCTCAACGGCACATCGCATTATCAATCTCAACTCCCTGGGGAGTATACAACTCTTGCAGCCACTAGACGCACCAAGTTATTGTGGCTTTCTCATCCTAACGAGGTACCCATTCACAGCTGGGTTGACTGGGACACATAGTCACTGCACTTTGTCCATGTTCACTGCACGTTGCTGTGCCCGCAACTAGGTGTTTGCACGTATTCATGTGGCCACCATCTGGTCAAATACCAACGGATTTGTGGGTTCTTTTAAATGCACAGGGTTGTGTACTGTACACTAGGGGTTGTGACAACACTGAAAGAGTCTGCACACAAAGTTGACTCCAAGGTTTTTACACCCGGTCACAGGTGGGCTTGATCCCGACACCTCAACCTCGCTGGATCACTAGCCTTATACAATTTGAGAACAAGTCATGCTACACTATTGTGAAAGAACCTACACTAATGATGATTTAATGTACCTTATTTTTCAATGATAATACAAATACATATATATATCATGAATAAATCATAACCATAAACATTATTCACAGTGTGTTATTACTACAGTTACTGGCGGTGAGGCAGGAAACAACTTCTGTGATTTAGACATTCAGGACTACCAACACTGCCATGATCATATTTGTACTCGAATAGTCGTTTTGAAATAATGCGATGATAAATTTTAACTCAATCTCGAAGTACCTCAAAATAAATGTCAACTTGTCACAAAATATCCTGCTGTTCCTTACCTGTGAGCATATGTGTAGTCAGTCTTCGGGTTTCTGGAAAACAAGCACACACATTATAGTCTACACAGAGCAGTGTTCCATGTATTACCATGATTACTATGACAACACAACTAGCGCAGGTTTACACCCTTGTGAACGGTGTGGATTCCGCCTTTCTGAATTCTGAATACCACATTCATAGGAGTGTTGGACAACACTAACACATTGTACAGATACATCAATGCACCAGAAGGATGGTCTGTACAACTTTCATCATGTTCGGGTCAAACTTCCTGAAGTGGTTTCCTTTCTTTCGTAATCCATCATATCATGGGTCCTCTTTCATAATTACAAAAGATAAAATTAAAAAGAACATAATATTTCCTGTTTCCATATATTTCCTGCCCAACAGCAGTTTAATACTTTTAAATAACACTCAAGTCTTGGATATTGAACATGTTGAATGATGTAAAAAAAATATGACATGGTATAATCATGATAATGAGTGAAGTAAAAATTCACATATTCAATTTTCAAAATTCAAAAGCTAAAAAACAAATTTGGAGAATTTTAATCACAAATGAAGGAAATAAAAATTTCCCATATCCATCAATTTTCAAACTGTAAAACCTAAAAAACAAATGTAGAGATTTTCAATCACAAACAGAAGCCATGTTTAAAAAACCTTCAATTGTGAGAGCAAATTTCGTTTAAATTTTCTCAGATTACACAATATTACAACAAACAACCTGATCATCGCTAATAAACCTGGTACAGACCAGTCCAGATAGATCAAAGAATTATAAGCCAGTAAAGCACAACATGGCAGAATAAGGAGTATAGTCCAAGTGGGCACAGTGTTACAGTAGTTGTGTGAATCAAATGAAGTGCAGGGGAACAGGAACCGGACACTTGATGGGTGAGCAGCCTCCCAGTGCAGCACCAGAGGAAGGAAACACGGCCACACTGTACACCACCAGTTGACAACATTCACACTACAAGTGACAGATCTAGCACCGAACAGGGCGTCAACTGGGAGGATATTACATCAACAGTGAGGGTAAGGACTAGGAACAGGGTGTGGTGACTTCAGTACTGCCGTTCACTTTCCCTATTGATAGTCTACGATGGACACTTACTTTCTTCTTAATGTAGGTGACATCTCTACTCTGGATGTTAAACACTTAACATTGTGTTTGCATAAGCAGTAATTATCATGATTATTGTTCAAAATCAAAGGAGACAAAAAGTATTTGAATCTGTACAAATGATTTGAAGCCCATTAAAATGGTTAATTTTAACACAGAGTCTACGACAGTCATGTTCAAGACTACATGAATTGTGTTAATTTAAAACATTAAACAACTGACAGGACTATAACAATATTCCTCCTGTTAAAGTTATGGTATCTTCATGATTCTCATAAACATAATACCATATGCATTATATATTCTACATATGACTTTAAAATTTTAAAGATTACCATTTCATGACCAACATAATTAGATAATGAGTGAGAGTGATTTGATTCAGCATGACAATTCTTACAGCAACGATGTACATCTAGATGGATTAATATTACAAGAACATAAGATCATATTGTGTTTAGACATAAGTAATAACAGACCATACTAATTTTGAAAAATCAGCACCATGTGTACTGGAAGTGGTCAGTTATCACAGTGACACGTTAGCCAGTGGTTAATCTCTACATCCTCCACAATGTCAAGCTGACCATGTTAATGTAACCTTCCTTGCATGGCCTAGAACTGAAATGTAAGGTCTTTGTTCTATCCAACAAAAGCAATAACAATTATATTCAAAATGCTTTATCTCATCTGCATACATGGCTCCAGATCAAACTGACCTCTGAAAATGTTGACTGATAATGGAAGTCATTAATTTGCATGATTAGTAGCTGGCTTTCATCATCATGATCATACTCATTATTATAATCATGATAACAGTTTACATGGTTAATAAGCAAGGCGGAAGCTCAATGCCCCGTAAAACTTTACAATCATTAGTCGCATTATCACCATGGCGGAGTCAGAAGAGAGCAGCAGACACGACTGTTCCATGGAACAATATGTACTTTTATCATGTTTATGTAATTAGTTGCCCAACCAGAGTGGGTGTAAGTTGTTTTAAGCTGCAGTCAGCAAGTTTCCAGCTCATGGTCATCTAACCTTTGGCCGATCAGTGATAACATGAGCATGGAGTCAGGCAAGGAGAATCACGATCCTCTGTGAACTGAAGCAGCTGTTCCCATTGTTCCATCCAGCTCTGTTCCTGTGTCAATGCTGATATTACATTCTTATTTATTGTAGGAGAACTGAAAACCTTCTCACAAATGAATCATGTCACTGTATCACTGTATCATGTCACTGTATCACTGTATCAGACTACGCCATTAGAATCTAAGTCGAAATGTCGCTTTTCACAGAATAAAGAAGTTGCATATCCATAAAATTATCATCATTCTTCATCACCTCAACTTCTAAAATGCCTATCAAAGAAAACTGAAGATTCATTTAAAATGTTTACTGCCAAAAGTACCACTGAAAATATTGCTGAAAATATTGGTTATATTTTCATGTAAATATTGCATGTTGTGGGTTATTGCAATGACCTATATCAAAAAACTACTTATGACAATAGTGCTTGATTTATAGAGCAAATACACAGAAAATCACTATGAATTGCTTTAATAACAACTTTTATTCATGATTAAAAATAACAATGTGAATAAAAAGGAAATATTTGTTCTCAATGAAGCACTGATCATAATCAAAACAAAACTACTAAAACATGGTTTCAATGAAGCACTGATCATAATCAAAACATCAGACCAACTCTGTGCTTATGTTGATTTTTCAGAATGTATGTCCTAAAAATAAAAAGTTGTTTAACAAACTATCATTAAAATCTTGACACAGTTCACTATTTATTAGTTCTCACGAAGGGAGGGGTGCAAAGAGAAAACAGCCAGGTGTGCAAAAAGGATGGCAAAGAGAGAACAGCACAGGTTAATGAATGCAATCAATGACTTTGTCGGCACTTGTGCACATGTGCTCGTGCTCCGTACACCTGGCTGTTCCTCCCTTTGCAGTCCTCCTCTAAATAACAAATAGTGAACTGTGTCAAATTTTTAATGATAGTTTGTTAAACAACTTTTATATTTTCAGGTCATAAATTCTGCAAAAAAATCACAGAGTTGGTCTGATGTTATGATTATGATCAGTGTTTTATTGAGTATTCTATGTTTAGTTGTTTTCGAGTTAGTTTGCAATTCATCGGTCCGATTTTGAGCCAAACGGACTATAAAAAGTGTGAAGAATGTCCTCCCAGAAATTCATGGTAAATTATGTTTGTATGACACTAAACAAGCTAAACTAGCCCAAATGTACTTGGCTTTATAGTAGGGATGTCATGATACATAAGTTTCATGAATCTATACATATCACGATACCCATGTCAAGATTCGATACGTATCACGATACCTATTTTCGCGGCATTATTGTGTAAACTTAGTTACATTTTGAACATTAATATTTCATATTTTATAATTGTCCATGAAAAGATCAACATTTTTTATTCTCAGAGATTAAAAAGTTCTAATTTCCCATCTTTGTGCATGAAAAATAATCATTTATAACTCTCATAACATTAAAAAACATGATACAATTTCAAAATGTAAACGATACATAAACATATTTAAACCAATACTTTCAAAACTAAATATCGATACAGTTTCGAATGTATCGATAATTGTATCGTCTTAGGAAAAGTATTGATGCATCGATGTATCTATGTATTGTGGCATCCCTACTTTATAGACTCTACTAGCAGTGACTAGCCAGTGAGATAGTGTTAATTTCCATGGTTGTTCCAAGTGAAAATGTACCTGGTACATGAAACATCATTAAATAAGTGCAGAATCCTTCTTACAATAACTTCTATTTGTCTCCATCATACTAAGTGAATCATGTCAAAGGGAAAATTCCATTTCCAACAAACACTTCCTTACATCTTTTTCTATCACAGTATACATGGAATAGTCTTGCTGCTAACAAATCTGTCGTATTGTTGACCTTGAGGGATTCAGTAGTATCAACAGCTGGGCACAAATACACCAAAGCTTTGCCACACACATTAACAGGCTGCAAGTCTCCAATTATCCGTCCAACCTTTAAGTGCAGACAGTTTTGAGGAACACAACACCAGCAATGACAACTGACATCTTTCTTGTTGTAAGATCATAAAACTTAAACCTATTCTTTTCAAATGTCTTCATTTTCACAATGCCGACAAACCAACAGTTGAAATAAATTGATTTTTTCATGAAATATATATTTGAATTTTGTAGTCTTTCTTCTCATAATAAAACCAGTAAATTATCTTTTATTCAACTTAACTTTCCATTCAAATATGATGAAATAGCATTAAGAATAAAGAACAATTTAGAATTCCTTTTTTCTATTATAAAGGTACTGATGTTAACACAGTTATTCTGTTCATCTGCTACAACATGCAGTTAAATCAGACCAGATGTCAGACAGGGGAATCAACACTATCATAAATGGTTAATCTTCACAGGATGTTTTCTAAGTGGCATCAATATGTTACGGATGGTAAATGTAGACAAATGCAGAGGTTTCGTTTTCACTATTATCATCAATGTTTCACGGCTAACATCATGCACTCATTGCTTCATCCCTGTGAGTACAGATAGCTGTTATCCCCCGCACTACATAACATGGCAGCTATATGCATTGACAGGTGATGGAGGAATGTGGTGGAAACAACTCCATGAAGTAATGATGATGTTGTGTTTGTGATCTAGGTGTTTGAACAAACACTAAAACAAAGACAAAACATACAACTCCTAACATTTGTCTTCATTTATACAGATCGGGTTGTGTTCTCTCAAAACATGCATATCATGGGTTCAGTGAGATATCATGGTCTGATTTCTGCAAAATAAAGACAGCGTGAGCAAGAATGTGGCTACAAGTTCAATACCTACAGTGAGAATCTGGGCAATCAGTTTGGGTAGTTTACCTGTGAGAGTGTTCGAGTCTGTGTGGAGGACAAAGCAGCACATTTAGCATATCACACAGACATAATTAATAGCAATCAGTCAACACACACACAAACACACACGTAAATTCATAACAACACATCTCTAACTCAGCCACAATCAGCTTTAAATAGCTGTGTCATTATTAAAGTTTAGTATCAATATATGAATATAAGTATCTCAATATCTCAATATATCGTTATTATCAATAAATTAGTTATGATCATGATTATGTATGTGTATAGGTAAAGTATTAATTAGCTGATGCTAAATATGGAGTGAGATCATCCATTATGTCAAATTAATGTTTAAGTTTGAATTTTCAGCCTTCTTATTGCCAATCGTAAAACAGTAACCTCTTCAAAAATAAGCTTTACTGAGGCAGTGAATTACCAATGTAGCATGAATCTTCATAGATGACATATTTCAAGTTTTAGAGATTTCATTGATTAAAAATAAAATACCATAGCAGCAATTCTAACCACATCACCAGCCAAGAGTATCTATTCTGAATATACAGACTATGTCTCATGGCATGCATACAGATCCTTTAGTGACATTTCCTTTTTACTTAAATTGGACTATTCCTAACATGACTAAAATTCTTAAACAAATACATAGAGGAAGAAAATAATTTTATTCCATCTACCAACATGATCAAGAAGTTTTATGCTGCAAAAACTATACACAGGCCTGTACATGATATATTGGTCTATTGGTATATTAAAATCAAAAGGAATATCATGCAGTCTATCACTTGACTAAAACTGTGTAACTGGATCTAGTAACTGCATGAACTATGTAATTCTAACATCTACTGCAGTTCAAGTACTGATGACAAGAAATGAAAACTGAATGACGCAAGGGGGCAACTCACATGTCAAAGTACTCCAGACTGTGATATTCATCCCAAGTGGGAGATGTCCGACCACCGCGGCTGTCAAATGGGGGTGTCTTTATCAGTGAATAATCTATGGAAAAGTCAGATCTGTCCCTGAAAAACACAACAGTACATGGATGATTGATTATAGACTTGTCTTCAATGTGTTACAAAAAAATGTTAAAATGTGTTCCACAGAAAATTCAATGTCGGTCCATTGTCGGAATTCATTGTTTGAAAAAGCATGAAATGTGATGCACTGTGCCAGTGAACTGGAAAGTCAGACTGGAAAATATGGCACATGTGTTTGTACTGAAATGTAGATTTATTCAACAAACCTCAAGCATTTTCATAAACTTGGAAAAATATGGCAAGCAGTTTCAGACAGCGTGCCAAGTTTATTTTAACCAGAGACACATTCATGATTTATGGTTAAGCCCACAAAACATTTATCATCTTTAGAATAATGATGGTCAAATTGAGCAGGTATTCAAATTCGCCAGTCTACAAGTATTTCACCAGCAGAAGGTTTGGGAGTATATCAGGTGCAAATATATCAGTGATATATACCTGGTGCAGTTTACCCCATACCTGTGTGATCATAATTTTACTCATCCTAAAGCAGTACTCTTACACTTATAATTAACATGCTCATAACAAACTCACAGATGTGAGAAACTTTAATTTGGTCCCTGCCACTTGCTGTTTGTTTCAGTCAAACCATGTATAACAAACTAATGTTAGAAAGAACTAAAACCAATTGTCCGTTATAGTTCATTAAACCATAATGTACAGTAACGTTTGTTTATGGAGAGAAAATAAGTAATTATGTATGCAAGGTAAACTTTGTGAATCATGATACAGGGCTTAAATACTATAAACTATTATTATGCCAACCCATGGTGAGAGAATTTGATTCTCTACTTCCTCATAGACATAACTTGTCAGCTTTAATTTTTGTTCCCATGGCAACCACCAAAACATGGCAATATATAAGCAAAAGATTCGAACCAAATACAATGTAGACAACATCTTGCCATGCTATTAGGAACGGACCTTACAAATACCTTTAAGCTTGTTCCCTGCCATACTTAATCATCAGAATGTCTGAGCTTTCAGAATGTGTTATCCTGGAGGTCACGATAAGTATGCATTAGACATTGTTAGAGAGTTGTGTTTTCGCCAATGAGTCATACAAAACAATGTGACCAAGGGACTGTTGACGAGGATATATATCATATCCTATGTATGCAGCTGTATTTACCAGTAATAATGTCCAAATATGTCACCATCATTACCAGCTATGATCAAAATAAAGAAATAACTTTGATCAAAGTAATATTTTACCAATTATCTGCCAAGGACAGTTAAGTCTGGATATATCCCTGGACAGACATGTCACTAAACAGAAATTTGACAAACATTTAACAGATGCACATTTATTATGTTTATGCCTTTTAAACTATTTCCAGGTTACTTTCTTGAAGTTTAAAATGCTTAAGGCACAGTTAGCACTGTTACTCTACACTTTAGGCCATTCTGACCAGACAGTTCCTGACAATGTAAGCGTACAGGAGTTATGAGAGTTGTGTAAAATCACTTGTGCCACAAGCTACACCTTGTATGTTTTATGGTTTCATGATTTTCCA